CGGTGGGACATTCCACAGGGAGCTGGATCCTGGGATCTGGATGACCAAGGAGAGATGTGGCTGCAGAGCGGGATCTAGAGCTTCCCTGGGAAGAGTATGTTGGCCCAATAGGGGTAGGGGTGGGGTTGGTGGTAGAGAAAAAGAGAGACGCAGGATCTCTCAGAGACAGCCCCAGGAGAGCATGTGAGAATGGAGACAGCATCAAGGTAGGGGCAAAGTAGGGTGACAGCCAGGCCCACGAAATCCCCAGAGTTCTTATAGGAACATCTCAGGACAAGGACCCAGAGCAGTGTGTACCAAGGACTGGTCACCAGGGCTGAAAAGGGAGACACCCTTGGAAGGAAGGAGATGCGCTGGTCCCTACAAGTCTCTGGCATATACGTCTCCTCACTGAGTGCTCACAACTCCTTTGTGAGATCAGTGTAATCATCCACATTGCACAGACAAGAAAACTGAAAATCAGAGATGTTAGGAGACTTCTCCCAAGGCCACAAAGCTTGTATCTCATCCACATCTGGGAGCTCATGGGCTCTTTTTAGGCACTAGGGTGCCCAGAATAAGGTTCACAGGGGCCACCAAGCACCCACTGATGACCTCCAGGGTTACTGTGCACAAGCACATCTGAGGCAGTTAGCATGAAGGAGGGAGCGCAGCTAATTGCCCGTACAAATTAACTCTAATGTGGTTGGCATCGACATACTTATCTTTCTTTAATTACATTAATCAATTAATGAAGAAGATGGCTTCCTCTTATTATGATTTCCAAGGCCCATATGTTCTCGGGAATCCAGCTGGAGTTGGGCTTCTTCTCTGTCCCTGGCTTGAATAGGGAACTGAGTGGAATCAACAGGAGAAATTGTCCCCCAGGTCTTCTCCGCCCTGAAGCTGATCTTCAAGATGAGAGAGGTAAGAAAACAGAAGCAATGATCCCCGGAAGTGGTAACCAGTGGAAGAGGCCTAAACTCCTTAACTCAGCATTCAAGGCCCTTCTCCAACATTGTTCATTGTTCCTTTGACCCAGGTTTATCAGCCTGGGCAGATTAATTTTCTCTAAGCTGCCCTTGCATCCTCCAGCCTCCAATGCATTCATGCCATTTCCCCTACCAGGAAGACCAGCTCCCATCAGTCAGGGTCCAGGTCAGCCCAATGGGTTTGTCACCTCCTCATGAGAACCCTATAGAAGGCCCACCCTGCAATAATCTCCTTCACTTGTTAATTTTTTCGGCTTTATTTAGGTATAATTGACAAATTAAAATTGCATATTTTAAGGTATATAACTGGATGTTTGATATACATATGCATTATGAAATGATTACCATAATCAAGCTAATTACCATACCCATCACCTCACTTGGTTACCATTTTCTTTTTTTTCTCTTTTGTGTATGCGTGTGTGATGAGAACACTCACGATCTACCCTGCCAGCAAGTTTCAAATATGCAATATATAGCATTGGTCACTATAGTCGCCTGGCTGTACATTAACTCTCCAGAACTTGTTCATCTGGCATAACTGAGACTTGGAACCCCTTAACCAACATCTACCCCCAGCCCCTGGCAGCCACCATTCTACTCTCTGCTTCTATGTGTTCAGCTATTTTAGATTCCACGTATTAGCGAAACCCTACAGTGTTTGCCTTTCTGTGTCTGACATTTCACTTAGCATAGTGTCTTCTAGGTTCATTCATGTTGTTGGGAATGACAAGATTTTCTTCTTTTATAAGGCTGAATAATAACTCACATTATTACTCCCATTTTCTTTATCCATTTATCTATTGACAGACATTTAGATTGTTTTCATATCTTAACTACTGTGAATATTGGTACAGCCATAATGGAAGACAGTATCAAGGGTCCTCAAAACATTAAAAATAGAGCTAGCATATGATCCAGTAACCCCACTTCTGGGTGTATATCCAAAGGAAACAAAATCAGCATTGCAAAGAAATATCCACACTCCCATTCATTCATTTTTCATTTAACAAATATTTACAGTCCCTCCTCTTGTGTAACTTCTAAACCTTCAGGACAGACAGACACTAAACAGACAAATAATTACATAGACTGGTGGTTCTCAGTCCACTAGAATCACCAGGGGAGCTTTTAAAAATATGCTACTCATTGCGGGCACAGTGGCTCACACCTGTAATCCCAGCAATTTGGGAGGCCAAGGCGGGTGGATCACTTGAGGCCAAGAGTTCTAAACCAGCCTGGCCGACGTGGAAAAATCCCATCTCTACTAAAAATACAAAAATTAGCCAGGCGTGATGGTGCAAGCCTGTAGTCCCAGCTACTCGGAGGCTTGAACCCAGGAGGCAGAGGTTGCAGTGAGCCGAGATCACACCACTGCACTCCAGCCTGGGTGACAGAGCAAGACTCTTTCTCAAAACACACACACACACACACACGTGCATGCGTGCGCGCAAGTGTGATACTCAAGCTTCCTCCCAGAGAAAGCAGAATCTCTGAGGGCGCAAGCCAGGCATCACTAATTTTTTTAATTGCCCAGGTAATACTAGTGTGCAGTATGGGGGGATAAAGGAGGGTAATTGTAAGGAGGGTAATCTGCAATGCTGCCACCCGGGCTTGCTTTCCCCAGAGGTTTTGAAAGTATGATCGGTCAATTGTGTTTTTTGTAATTATTTATTTAAATAAGGTAAACTTATATTAGCCACCCCATCTTCCATGTATAAGGAAGTCACAAATCACTTAGATCAGTGCTTCTCGAACTGTAGCAAATATCAGAATCACCTAAGGGCTTGTTGAACCAGATCACTGGGCCCCACTTTGAGCCCAGGAATTTGCATTTCTTACAAATTCCCAGGTGACACTGATGCTGCTGGTCTGGGAACTCTGCTTTGAGAAACACTGAATTGGAGCAAAGTTTAAAGAAATTCAAGTGGTTGAGCACCTTCCTCCCTCAGTAAACATCTGCTATTCACAAACTCTGTTTAACCTAACTCTGCTGCTTTCTCGCAGGCTGATGTAGAAAGCCTTGGGATCCCCTTTGTTAGGGGAAGAAGCTGTGAAAAATCTTATCTCTCCATCATACATGCGCCTGTTTTCACTGTAGGATGTTTCACAACCACGGTGCTTCAGAGCAGGCAACTTCTCTTCCTTAACTGCCAATTTCACATCACAGCAGTGGCTGTCAGCATCAGCATCACCTGGGCACTTGTTAGATATGCAGATTCCTGGCCTACTCCAGGCCCACTTAATCAGAAACTCTGGGAGTGAAGCCCAGCAGTCTGTGAACTAGGAAATCACACAGGTGATTCTGATGAACCCTCAACTATGAGAACCGCTGGCCTAGAGAAAATATGTTAATTGACCCTTCGAATTCTTCAGGATCCTATTCACTCTGATTATTTGTATCATTTCTTTCATAAAAATAATAATTCGCTTCTATTTGTCAGGTCTTCCTATGTGCCAGGGACTGTGCTAAGTACTTTACATTAAAGATCTTATTTAAACCTTGGAACAATCCAATATTCATTATACTATTCTATAGATAAGGAAACTAGAGCTTGGAGAGGTTAAGAGTTCGGCCCACCTGTTAAGTGGCAAACCCAGGAAAATACTGCTCTCTGCCCCACCCTAGTTCATCTTTTCCAAACATTGAGCATTGTGTTAAGTCTGTTCTCACACTACTATAAAGAACTACTTGAGATGGGGTAATTTATGAAGAAAAGAGGTTTAATTGACCCAGTTCTGTAGGTTGTACAGGAACTGTGGCTGGGAGACCTCAGGAAACACAATCATGGCCATAGGTGAAGGGGAGCAAACACGTCTTACCACAACGGAGCAAGAGAAAGAGAGTGCAGGGGGAAGTGCTACACACGTTTAAACAACCAGATCTTATGAGAACTCACTCACTATCACAAGAACAGCAAGGGGGAAATCCACTCGCATGATCCAATCACTTCCCACCAGGTACCTCCCCCAACTTTGGGAATTACAATTCGACATGAGAGTTGGGTGGGGACACAGAGCCAAACCATATCAGGCACCTATCACACCCATATGACTGTGGTTTATACCTCCATTGTAGTGCTTTCCCTCAATCATAAGATTTTTTTAATACCTCACTACCTTTTTCTACCCAAATACCTTTTTAAAACTAGTGTTCGTTTTCTTAAAAAGACTAATTGTTGAAATGCTTTAAAATCATCTGTTTACTGCCCTAACTAACATCATGCATTTTTCTTTTACGAAAATTTTGAAACTCAGTTAAATGTTTAAAATGCAAAGAGCAGACACACAAGTTTCCTTACTGGAATGAAATTTAAATGGAAAGTGGGACTTCACAGGTACAACTACCTTAAAGTCCATATTGCTTAAAAGAGTGGAACTCAAGAGCCAGGAGCCATGACTTGCACTCGAAGTCCCAGCTACTGGGGAGGCTGAGACAGGAGGATTGCTTGAGACCAGCTCAAAGCCTCAGTGAATCATGATCATACCACTGCACCCCAGCCTGGGTGACAAAGTGAAAAGTATGTGACCTCAAGTCCAAACAGTCATTCTCCAATACATTGGAAGCCTATTACATCTAAAGGCATTTTAATCAGCCAGTCAACCTGTATATACCATGTGGATGAAGTGGTCAGCATGACTCACCTGGAAATGTGCCAAGGGATAGAGATTATTCCAAGACATGGCAATATCTACCTGGTGTCTTCAGCAGGAGGAACGTGCAACTACTATGTGTTACAGTCACAGACAGCCTACGGTGACCAACAGGCCCCAGTTTGCCCGTGACTGTCCCAGTTTTGACACTGAAAGTTCCGAGTCCCAGAAAACGGTTGGCCGCCCTAACAGCACCATGCTTGGCTCACATCAAGGTGCATGAGAGGGAGTTTCTGTTTCCCTTTGACCAGCCGGGGCCTGGCTGTAGGGCTCCCGTGGGGCAGGACAATCTGGCCAGGATCAGTGTCAAAGAACTGCCTAGCAGAAGGAATATGTCTTAGTTCCAGCTGCTCTAACAAATTACCGTAGTCTGAGTGGGTTTAAACAATAAGCATTTATTTCTCACATTGCTGGAGGCTAGAAGTCCGGTATCTCTCTTGTACCCTCAAAGAGAGAGCTCTGGTGTCTTCATCCCTTCATAAGGCGGAGTGAATCCCAGTAGGATATTTTTCTCATGTCCTAACTACTGCCCTAAAGCCCTGCCTCTTAATACCATCACATTGAAAATTTAGTCTTCAACATAGAAATTTGGGGGGACCCATTCAGTCCATAGCAGGGTACCTGGGGACAGAAGGGAAACTAGTCTAAGCAGTGACCACATCTCCTCCCAACTGCCCTCCCCTCCCCCAGGTAAAACTCCAGATGATTCTGGGGCAGGAGCTCCACCCCCAGGTACCTACCTCTTCCTCCAATAGAAACAAAGCACAGGCCAGTCCTCACAGATGGGAGCAGGGGGATATCCACAGAGGACAGAGACAGCTGAAGACTCCACTCCTGGCTTCCTCTCGGCTCTCCTGTGCCACGGAAGGTAGGGAAGGCGAGGGAAAATGTCCGTCCAGCCCTAAAACCCTGGGCCTTCTGAGCTGGCTGGGCCACCCTGCAGCCCACAATGGGTCCACAAGAGCAGGGGCTTGGCAGCCAAGACGATGAGCTGATAAGGCCACCCACGACAGGTGGGTGCTTAATACACATCTAGACAATGTGTAAGTGCTCAGTGAATCTGAGCTGTTTTTAAGCAGCTATTGCCCTCTGGGACCCAGAACATACTGCAGAATGGGCTCATCCTCCCTCCCATCCACCTCTCCTGTCCCCATTGCAGCCCCACCTCCTCCACTGCTGTGTGGCCGAGAGTTACCCTGAGGATCAGTTTTCTTACCTACAAAGTAGAAAGAATAATAGTCCCAACCTCACAGAGTCTCCGTGGGGAGTAAATGAAACAGGGTGTGTAGTAGCCCACTTTGGACGTAGTAAAGGCTCAGTGAGATCATCATTGTCACTCTTCTTATCTCCAAGGGCACCCGGGGGTTGGGGAGGCACTGAGGGAGGAAGAGAAGGGGAGTGTCCCACATCCTTCCTCAGCCTCGAAGCAGGAGGCCTGAGCTCCGTATGCTATTTGTTCTTTCCACAACACCAGTGCCAACTTCTCCATTAGGCACTGTAGCAACGCAGGGTCCACAACATTTTCCAGACCCACAGAATGTTCTCATGTCCTTCAAAATCAGGGAAAACAGAAACTTTTAGGTTAGACAAATATGTTTCATTTTCTTCTTTCATCAGAAACAAATAGAATATTTACGACCCATGAAAATCTATTCTTGTAGGAGGGGCCCATGAAGGCAGAAGCGTCTAGGGCCACAAAAGTCACAATGCAGCCCTGCTCAAAAGACAGAAACAAAAACCTGTGCCTGGGCCAGCCGTGGTGGCTCATGCGTGTAATCCCAGCACTTTGGGAGGCCGAGGCGGGCAGATCACTTGAGGTCAGGAGTTTGAGAATAGCCTGGACAACATGGTGAAACCCTGTCTCTACTGAAAATACAAAAATTAGCCGGGCGTGGTGGTGGGTGCCTGTCCTCCCAGCTACTCGGGAGGTTGAGGCACGAGAATCGCTTGAACCCAGGAGGCAGAGGTTGCAGTGAGCCGAGATCATGTCACTGTATTCCAGTCTGGGCAATACAGCGAGACTCAGTCTCAAAAAAAAAAAAAATTCCTGTGCCTCTCTTTTTTCCCTCCCCACTGCACCCGTCCTAACTCAACCCAAGTCCACCTCTCACATAGACAATGACCAGAGCCTCCCAGCAGGTCTCCCAGCCTGTCTCTGAAATCCTTGTATCTGTCCTCCACAGCGCAGCCAGCACAATCTGTCGAAATCACAAATCTGACCTTGTCTCCTCCCTCCTGAAAACCTGCTGTGCCTCCAGATTGCCCTCAAGACAAAAGTCCAAACTCCCCTGCAAGGCACACAGGTCCCCAGAGGGCAGTCAGCTGCACTGTCCTCCACACGCCCAGCCTTCCTGCTTTCACGCCTCCACGCCTTTGCACTTGCAGCACCGTCTAACCTGAACACCCTTTCCCCCTGCAAACTCCTAGCCATCCTTCAAAGCCCAGTTCCTCTCAGAGAAATTGCACTCATTTGTCATATTGTGATTTTGAGTGAATGTCACCTCAAGGTCATGGACTATGTTTTCTTCATTTTCATCCCCCCAGCCACCTCCCCGGTGCCGAGCTTACAGCGACTGTCTGGCAGTGTTTACTGTTCCCCTGAGGTCATGGTCAGCATCTGGGTGCTCCTCTAACCCACCGCTTGCTGCCCCGGCACCGCTGCAGTTCTGTGATTTCCAAATGCCAAGGGAAGCTCTGTGGTCCTGTTCACCTTTTCCTTGTCTGGCAGGCTGGGAGTGCAGCTCCTCTGGGACGCACAGACAGCGGAGTAGCCCTGAATGGGTCCACCTTTCACCAACAACACCCACCTCAAATAAAAGCTATCAACTTGCCAGGATTGGAGAGGAAGCATCAAGTCCCCAAGAAAAACCCAAGGGTCATGTTCAGAGACTTGGCCAGAACTGAGCCCTGTTCAGCCCTTGTCTGTGTGTGACAGTGTGCCTCTCTGTGCCTCACTTTCTCCAGCTCATAAGAGTGAATTGGTCTAAAGCCTCGAAAGAAAGGGTTCTTCCAACTCTGGCTGCACAGCCTCTTCCAGGGCCTCCAGTCAGCCCAGACCCAGTTACCAACGCAGAGGGAAGAGTGCCACCTACTGACTCCCAGCCTCCCTCCACTACCCTGAGCCACCAAAGGAGTCAGCGGAATGTGCAAAGCTCAAAGTGAGCAGTTGTCTGTATTCTCCCTTTGCAGAGCCGCAGCAACCTCCCCTTTCATGGGGCTGAGGGGCACCCCTCCAGCCTGGAGAGAGAGCTTTAGCTGCACTGCTGACACCCGCTGTCCTCTGCTCCAAGCCCCAAGAAAGCCAGGCGCCCCCACGCCATCCTGCCCCTGTGCCAGGCCCATCAGCAGGGTAGTCCCCAGCTGCCAGCCCCCCTCACACGGGCCGGCGGCTGGAGGTGGAGAACAATGATCCTTATTGTGACTAAATTTCCCCCTGAAGATCTCATTCAAGATGTTAGAGTGAGCGATCATAAAAGGAATTAATAGTTGATTCGCTGTATAATTTCCTAGTTCAATATACTTTAGTGCAGCGACTAAATGAGGCGTCCCGGCCGTTCGGTGGGGCCAGATAGCGACTTTATCACTGGGATCTCAGGCTGAGGAATAAAAGCAATTCTTCTGAAGTAATTGCGTCTAATTAAAAGAAACATTTAAAAAGTGTAACCAAAAGGAATTCATTTCAAATGGAAAATTAATGCTGAAAAATAGCCCTGAGCTCTCTTGTCGCAGCTAATAGCCAGGCAGCCGCAGAATAATTAAACTGTTTTGAAATGTCGATACCATCCTCGTTGGGAGAAGATGGGCACGGCTGAGCACATCCCGGGCATCAGCAAAGAGGATGGCTTCCAAAGAGATGGCCAGCACTCGGACTTGAGGTCAGCCACAGACTTCCAGGCGGGGTGAGGCCCAGGTCACCACAGACAAGGCTGGAAAAGGTTTGTAATATGGTATTTAATGAAAGAAACCCCACTTCCTGGATATCGAAGCACCCCACTGACTCTTCAGAACAACCCTGCAAGTATCATTAGTATTATCATCATCATCATCATCATCATCATCATCATCACTGCCATTGTCAGTTCAAAAAGGAGATTCCTTGTGACTAGCTACCTCGTCTAAAATCACAGCCAATATGTATTAATAGCAGAGCCAGGATTTGAACTCAGGTCTGCCTGGCTCTGAAGTCCACATCAATTTCACTACACTGGATGTTAGGATTCAGCATCAGGAAAAAGGCTTTCTAACGCTGTCATTCTCAGTTCTGTCTGTGTTCGACTCACCTGACACCTGGCATGATCACAACTCTCTGTAGCCTTGATCTCCTGGGCTCAAGCGATCCTCCTACCTCAGCCTCCCAAGTAGCTGGGATTACACACCACTAGGCCTGGATTTTTTTTTTTTTTTTTTTTTTTTTAGAGATGGTATCTCATCATGCTGCCCAGTCTGTGGACATCAGTTTTTGTTTTGTTTTGTTTTAAGTTTCCCAGGTGACTTAACTGTGCAGCTCAGGTCTAGAACCATTAGTCTAAATCCCAGTTATCAGGCAGCTTTCATTCCATGAACATTCCCTGAAATTTTCCTGCTCACATCCCCCCGGGAGTTTCACCTTGTGAAAAATCGAAGGGTGAACACTTCCCTTACAAGTTTGCAGCCAGGTTGAAATGAACTAAAAGAGACTAATCAGCACTTAGTACATGCTAAATAAATGTTAGTTTTGAAATGGGGGGCATCAAGAAGTAAGAACCTGAGATGAAAGTGTTATCGGAAAGGAGTCCTGATGCAGACCCCAAGAGAGGGTTCTTGGACCTTGAGCAAGAAAGAATTTGAGGTGAGTCCATAAGGTAAATTAAAAGCAAGTTTATTAGGAAAGTGAAGAAATAAAGAATGGCTACTCTATAGGCAGAGCAGTGGAATGGAATGCTTGACTAAGTATACTTATAGTTAGTTTTTGGCTGTATGTTACCAAGGGGTGGATTATTCATGAGTTTTCTGGGAAAGGGGCAGGCAATTCCTGGAACTGAAGGTTCCTCCCCTTTTTAGACCATATAGGGTAACTTTCTGAGGTTCCCATGGCATTTGTAAACTGTCATGGTGCTGGTGGGCATGTCTTTTAGCATGCTAATGAATTATAATTAGCGTATAAGGAGTAGTAAGGACGACCAGAGGTCACTTTCATGACCATCTTGATTTGGGTGAGTTTTGGCCTGCTTCTTTACCACAAACTATTTTATCTTCAAGGTCCTTATGACCTGTATCTTGTGCCAACCTTCTGTCTCATCCTGTGACTAAGAATGCCTAACCTCCTGGGAATGCAGACTGGTAAGGTCTCAGCCTTATTTTACTCAGCTGCTATTCAAGATGGACTTGCTCTGGTTCAAATGCCTCTGACAAAATGTCTACCAAGGGTTGACTATAGCTTCTAACTCCTTTAAAACGTGGGGCCAGGGGTGGAAAACTAAATCTGAAAAGTTTAACAGTGAAGATGATCTGGCCAGAAGGGTTATGTTCCAACGTGAATTCAGAATGTGTGGAGATCACGCTAGTTTTAGCACCAAATCTTACAGTTGTGTTTACAGTTACTTGAACTAGACTAGGAGTTGCCTTCAATCAGTGATTATGGAGCATGCTTTAATGAACTAGAAGAACAATTTGTAATCCATGAGTTGTTTATTATGCTGACAGGTACTCCTAAAGACCTTGAGAATGTTCCCTAAAAGTTTGTCCCCCAAGTAGATTTAAACATTCACCTAAACTTTATTTACACCCTTATGATTTTCAGAAAACACCTTCTTTATACATATGTAAAGATCCCAGTGCCCCTTTTCTGAATTGCAAATACATCCCAGTTTCCAAAGATCATCAGTAAAGCACCATCTGCTTCATTACAGCTAAACTCCTTAAAAGGGAACCCAGGGTCTCTAAGGGTGATGGAGGACTTGGGATGAACCACTCATAAGAAAAGCATCATCTTACCTTCTGGTGAAATGGTGCTTATAGTGACCACAGGGGATTGGCCGAGGCTGAGGGATTTTCCCAACGTTCTGAGGTTTTTTTGTAATTTCTTTGCCTGAGGACTTTCTCTGTCCACAGAAGCCACTTTGCCCACCTCTGTGGCAAGCCAGAAGTGCCATGCACACACCCAAAGCAGTTCTCAACCAATGCATGGTGAAAGTTGGTGGACAAATACCCTAACTCCCTCACCCTATTGGTGGAATAACTCTATGGTGTAGTCCATACAGACTCCCACAGTTCCCCAGCACGATTACGCCTCAACTACCCCGGGAGTGCTAACAGGATGATGGCCTCTTTATTGTCTGTCTTCTCCTCCCTGTCTCACTTCCCTCCCTCCCTTACCTGTATTGCCTTTATCTCCCAGATAAACTGCTTGCATTTGAGTCAATATCTGTTAAGACAGGGGTAAGAACAATACCTTTGGGACCATTGGGTTAGCAGCTGTAGTGGAGATCCACCCTAAACTGGCCCCTGTGCCTGCTGCATGAAAAGAGGATGGGCTTTTGGAGCAGAGATGCCTAAGCTCCAAATCTGGTCCAGATATTTACCAGCTGTGTGACTTAGGAGAAGTCAGTGAGCCTCACTGAGCCTCTCTGTCCTCTAGTATAAGATGGGAATAGTAATGGAAGCCACTGCAATGAGTTGTTGAAAAGATGCATTGAAATTCTGCAGACTAAGCCCATGGCACAAGCAGGTGTTTATTCAAAAAGTATTAGTAGAAGATTTGTTTCATAACGGGCTCTGAGTGTGGCACAGTGGGGTGTGCAAAGG